ACTTCATTAAAGTGGCGAATAGTGTACTAGGTGATAATGGAAATAAGTAATAAAGACTCAATAATAGCACATAAAGTTTACGTTAATTTTTAAGTAAATTCAAAAATTATAACGTACAAAGTACAAATATGTACAAAGCTCGGTCACTCTGACCACCCTAGCGTGCCAGCACGGCCCGAGAGTTTAATTTCACCAGTCGAGTGATATTGTTCATTATTATTTTTATTTCCGTTCGACTTGCATATTGCATTTTTGGGGTGAGGACCGTAGCAGAGTTTCATTAGACGAATACTCTCATGGAACAGCTGATGATGTCAGAGTCTCTTGTATATAGAAGGTAATTTGGAACCACAGTTGTTGGATGTGTTCAAGGAATTGAAAGTGAACTGAAGTTGAAAAATATGAAGGTGCATTCAGCCTCTCTTATGGCTTCACAACTTAATAATACAATAATTTCACTTAAGAAACTTAATAACACTCTGACTTGTGCATGTGAATTTGCATGATCCTTGCAAGCCTCTCTTTATTGATCTTGGAATCTTACCATTGCGTTACTTATATATTTACGAATCTGTAATATTTGTCAAAAGTGACTTACTTAACGGTGGGAACATATTTTCATGCAATACTGAAATTTATAATTACAACACGTGTCGTAAAAATCACGATCATCAGGTGTCAGTATCAACAGCTCACTATCAGTAATCCACATACAATACATGTACGTTACTTTACAACGCATTGCCAGATGACATTAAACAATTGAAGCCGGTTCACAAATTTAAGTTAAAAGTAAAATATTTTATGCTGCATAACTGTTTCTATACAATTAGAGACTATACTGATTATCAAAAAGAAAAATAATGTGTATTTTAACAAAACAGTGATATTTATTGAATTAATAAACACTACATTTGCATTGTATGCATTTTTTAAAAAGACTTAATATATTTGTAACAAATAATGTACTTCAGCTTCCGGATCAATGACCCCTATCTCGATCAGGTTTTTGCCCAGTTTCCCTGATATATTGAGAAAATGCTGAGACGGTCCCTTGTTTTGCTTCTGGACATAAATGTAGCTCCACTATGCGCACTTTTTGTTGAACTCTCCTTTTGGTTGTAATGGTAGGAGCAGATGTAAGGGCGAGTTACTATTTTGTTAGCAATGGAGAAAAATCATACCTGCAATTCGTTTACCGATGCAAATAAGTTTTCTGTAACTCGAGAACGAAAATGTCTATTTTTTTCAAATATTGCTAATCTCACGCTTTTTAACATTTTTATTTATTAATTTATTTATTTTTAACTTTTATTCATCTTTCAACTATTTATAATTAAAATGATGGGAAGAGATTCTGGTACTCAAGATAACGTGCGCAGATGATCTTCTCCCCCATACGTCAATGTTTTTACTTTTTTTTTTTTTTTTTTTTTTTTACTAAATAAATCGAAATCTAATCTAAAACCTCCGTCCATTTACACATCTATCAGCCTGTGAAAACCTCTAGCATCTAAACCATACATACGATTTTTTTCTAAAATAGATATTCTACGGTCGATCTGGCGCAACTAAAAGCCCTGCGATTTCAAAAACTTTCTTTAAAATTTGGGGGGTACTTTATATAAAACCGACCGGACATTTTCACAATTTTCTCAAAAATGACTTCAATTTTTTTTATTTATTCTAAGAATAGAGTAAAATATACATAAAGGTGGCCTAGGTCTGATTTTCACAGTTAACTATGAATTTTCAAAAAATTGCAAAACTCCGAAATTTTTGCGGCATTTTCTTACAACTACAAAATTGAAGATAGGAATCTCTCATACCATTTCCTTCATATAAACTTTATTCTCCATAGTGAGTTCTTTCATTAAGTTCATGTACATTGTTTTGAAAATTAGTGTAGGTTTCGTGCAATATTACGTGCAATTTGCGCATTTTTTTTTACAATATTAAAAAACAATATTTTCCCAAGATAGTCTCCAATTGTTTTCTTTAAACTTTTGGTAAGGATGCTAAAGGTACTAAATGCACCCTATGAAATGACATAAACTCCACATTTCTCTATTTCCACGCCACATTTCAAACATTACAAAAATGTAATTTTTTTACTTGTCTCTCACGTCGTTAATATTTATTTTAGCCGCAATTTGTTCACATTATTGTATTTATGAGTATTGTGATTTCAATAATGTCAAAATACGGTTTTCAAAAACTCAACCGTTTTCTGTGACAAGCTCAAACTCTCCATTTTCAGAAAAGCTCAAACGCCATTTTCTCAAAAACAGCTCGAAATTTTTGAACTCCCTCTTTCAACATCTTTTTTAACGGATAGTGTTAATTGCACTCTTTAATATAACATATATATATATATATAATAAAAGAAAATGGCAATTTAGGACGAGGTTTTTCTGTACTTAAATATTCATAAAATAATATTTCTGTTTTAATATTAGGAAATCGAAAATTAAACATTGTTTTTAAAAAATGAACTTTTTAGGCTGCGATAGATGGCAGCAGGCAGGAATACATGGCAAGTTCGTATAGCTAGCCGAGACCAAATGAAATAGAAAACTAATACGGAAAAGTCTGTGCCATTCTGTAGCACCACTAGTTTCTTACTTGCTCTGATATGGCATACGGTCGATTCTAGTAGATCTCTCGTTCATCAAGTATGTATATATTTATTGTCAGTTTTTCACTTATTACTCGAAATCTTCGCGGTGACACTTTCAAGGTATCACACAATTTTGTGACAAACCCGTTCCCTTTTCTCTGTTTAGTAACATAACAAGTAATGGTACAATGACTGAGAGACACACATTCTAAAGTTATTTTCTGCTCTGAGATCGACACACACTGATGTGCTAGAAATGCTCAATGTTCATCACGAAACTTCTCAAAGAGCCGCCTCTTCAGGCCACAATATTTTTCGGCATTGCATTCTAACTCTGCTCTTACTTCTGAAATATATACACCAGTTTAATTACATTGATGCTATTATTTTCAGAGAAAATTCTGAATGCATAAGCTGTATTGGATTCAACGTTGTTTCATCTACCTCGTTTGGACGCTCCAATACTGATTTTCTTACATTTCTAGACCCTAAACACTCCACCGGACTCTCTAAACAGTTTTCTTACATTATACTTCCACTTTTAACAATCCTTCTCCTTTCTTTCCCCTATTACTTTCTTGTACAGTGGACAGTAAAATACTTATACGCTCGTTTCGCGCCGTCTTGCGAGCACTAACAACGTTGTTCCGCGTTAGCCAATACTTGAAGCCAGATTTTTCACCAAAAAAAAATCTAATAAAATATCAATGGGAGAACAGATTCATATGCAACATTGTACCAGATAAAACAGCAAATTGAAAAATGTGTCGCTTACAACGTTCCAGCCAACGCTTCAATTTTAAATTTTGTTTGTATTCTTTTCAATTTATATATTCATGCGCTATACAGATGTTCATTTTGAAAATTGTAGGTTGAAACGTATTATACTATGTAGATTACAATGGAAGTTCCTGTGCCTTTATTAATATATATTCATCAGTGGTAAGGCATTGCATTTTTGTGGTCATCGCTAAATTTGCCCAGTATCCAGGTCTATCTTACTGAAGCGCCGGGAGCGGGGGAGTTAGTCGCAATATTGTAGGGTGTTCTGTTTTTTAAATGCTCAGAACTATGCACATTTTTTATACATTTTCATTTTTTTAATAAATTTCCTGGACTTCCTTAAGGCAATATTAAAATGCGGTGACAAAACTGAAATTCATTCAATCAAATAAACGTGAAATGAAAAAAATATTTTAAAATTAGTTTTGCATTCGGTTTTCAATCATATGATTATAGGTTGTTCTACATGAAAGCACACCCATTCTGCGCAACCAATTTCAATTGGGTTTACCGTCGACTGTGCAGTCTCTGCCATTTATCATTCCACACATCGCAAGGATGCCCCAAGCAATCTCGACCCGAACTCCGAGTCGAGACGTGTTATGTATAAAACAGTCCGAGTGTCACACATTTGTAAGTTGCATACCCAACGCCCACGTGCTAAAGCTGGGGCTACACCCTCATTCAGTGTCCACGCTCGACATGAGTAGGCCGGGCGATCGCCCGGGGCCCCGCAAGTCAAGAGGCCACATGATGGGGTAAAAGTAGTAAAAAATTGATAAAGAAAGTAGAACTCGAGAAAATCGTTAACGTAATTTTATAAGTCGCGGTACACTAGTCTGTTATTTCATAAAATGTTCAATTAAACGTTTATCTTAAATGTTTAATTATATTCGTTACTTATAAGGTAAGTTAAGAACCGCCCGCTTGCCTGCCCCGCTCCTCCTATACTGCGATTTTCGCTACTCTGTCCCTTCAAGATATCAGCTGTTGGCCGTTTAATCCAATCGGGAGCTTTAACGTCACCACGTTGAAGCGCCCTTTCGATTAAACTGTCAACCGCTGATACCTGCCAGGGGCAGAGTTGCAAAAATCGCAATATACCTCTTTTACGGGAGCCGCCAAGTGGCGGCGGGCTCTCTACTCTAGGGGCCCTCGCACAGTGGGCAACGCGAGTCGCGCTACAGCATGGCAGGGTGGCGGCGTGGCATGGGGGCATTGCATTTGGCCAAATTCCACTTTACGACGCGCCTATTCATCCATTTGGACAACTGATATGGCGTTGGATTCAGAAAGCACTTCGCCATCGTGCTATTAGCCCACATTTTTTAAATTTCTTTCCTAACTATTATTCCAAAATTCATTTTTCAATTTAATTTAAAGTTTTGAAAGTAATGCAATTTATAAATTAAAAAAAAAAAAACATTCTCAAAAATCGTTCCAAATGTTTCTCATGGGTAGATGAAGTAATGTTTAAAAGAATGGTGCAGGTCTCATTTTTGTTGAACTCTGAATTTTCGAAAATGGCAAATTGTGAACTAATATGAGAAAGTCTGTGCAGTTGTTGCACCACTCTTTTACAAATTTGTTTGGTCATCAGCACATCTATCACTGACCAAACGCCTTGACACTGCTATTCTTTGTTTCTAGAATGGCTGAATGGACTACTTGGAATTTTAAGGTTAAAAAAAAGACATTTTCTGTTTTCTTAGCCGAGTTTCAATTTTTCTGCAGAATGTGACCCTTTATTTAGATGTTGCCTAAAATAGTAGAGAACCTCCTCTGCATTGATTTTAAAAATCCCTTTTACAACAAACAGTTTGCAAAAGTGTTCCAACCTTGATTCATATATCACATCTTATTCAGTTTTCCAAGATGGGCTTTTTAGGATCTAATAGCCAATATATTTTTTTTAATAACTGTACAAAATTTACATATGTTATTTGCTAGTATATAAAATGTTTAAAAAATTAATATTTTGTCGTAAGTTTGAAGAGATTTTAGAACTCTAGTTTATTAGAACATTAGTTTCACTTCCACTTGTTCTTAAAAACAATATATGAGATCAACATCTCCTCAATAGGAGCTTCAAAAATTCACAGCGTGTTCCAGAAAATGAACACGGAGAAGAAGTCCATTGAAAAACTTTTTTCCTGTCTTTGCTTTCCTTTACTGCTAAAGATTCTTTTAAATATTTCCAAAAGTTATAAAAAAGGTAACAGTAAAAAATTGCCATAAAAAATTGTAAGAGTTCACAGACTAAATTATTCTTTACAGGGAAAATTTCTGATACATGAAAAAATTGTACCACAGAACATGCCACTATAAGACAATATTTCCTAACATAATGCTTGGAAATACTACTACTACAGAAATATTTGTGCTCCAAAACTAGACACAATTGGTAAGGCCACTAAATGATTATTGAGAGACCAAAGTTTAAATTCATCTTGTCTTTCCATTTGTACAACTTTTTTCCTTTTTGAGTATACAAACACCCAAAAGAAACATTTAATTACAATTAACAATAACATTAAAAACAGATACAAAACTAGCTTTCACTGTCTCAATGGAAGACCCACAAGTACATTTGTTTCATGTACGTATAAAGTCACAGCCATATTTTTATGGACGGATAAATTATCATATCTTTTCTTAAAACTATGAGTATTCTCAAATAATTAGTAATACCATTTCATTTCCTGGTAAAAGTGTTCTTAGGAGGTAACCACAGTCCTTCCCTCCACCTCAAGAAAATTTGATTAATATACTACTGATTTGAACAGGTGATTACAAATCAAATATTATCTGAATCATTAGCTCTAACTGCACTCAGCATACTTTCTAAAACATGAGGCATATTTGCAAATCCAACAGCTGTTGCTTCAACATCATTCATGTGTTCTTGTCTCATTCGTTCATTAAATGCATCAGGGGCTGATATTTTGTTTTGCCAAAGCTCAAAATACTCTTTGGCAGAAATGGAAAAGCTTTCTCTTCCTTCAGCTTTCAAAAACTGCTGCCACACCTGAAAACAAAATACATGGACAACGTCCTTGATGCAATGGTAGATCACATCTTAAATCTTAATATTTTACTATTATTTCTCCACATTTTAGTGCAACTAATTTTTTTTTTTTTTTTTTAGTGAAAGTCCTTTCAATTTATTATTTGCATGAGTAAAATTGGAATTCAGTAATTCTTTTTATATATTCCAGGCTTAATTTACGTGAAACTTATATTAAATCAAACAAAATAATCTTGGCTTTGATTTGACCAAATGTTATCTTCCATTAATCAAATTAAATGTACGGTTCAAGTAGAGCGCACGGTAGCCTTGCTGGAGAAACCTCCCACATCTTTTGTATTATTATTAGTATGTATAATTTTTTGCACATTGCTCACAATATCTGTCCTCCAAAAGATCCCCTCAAAATACCCTAATTACTTCTTGTCCCCTCAACAATGTATTTCCCCTAGACTGAGCGGCATGAAGTGCAGGTTTAGGTGGCAATCCTAAATTGCAACATATTCTCTACTTCAACCAAAAGATTTAATATTGGTTTAAATTAAAATTTCCAAACTGGAAAACTTTTCTTCTAAAGTCAATAATTCAGATTATCCAATTTTGAATTAACTATTATTTACAATTAAAATTATAACTGCAATTATACATGTATATTACAATTATAAACCATATGTATAATAATATACAAGAATAATTATGTCATTACTATATTATTTTTCACAACATACTTGCTCAACAGGAAATGGAGTTGGTGCAGGCTTATTTCCTACAATACATGGACTTCTGAAAACTCGCAAACGATGCACAAGGTATTCTAAGGTGTACAATTTATCTCCTTCAACACCATGGAAAGTAATGGACTTATTACTGCAGCAGCCAAATCCCTGTGAAGTATATAGTAAATTAAATTTTGAACAAGAAACCTTTAGATAGAAAGAATAATTGTAAATATTTGAAAATATCTTTAATATTAACATTTACTTCAATTTGTGGGTATAAACTCTTCTTCCAATAACTGGACAGTTTGGACAGACGTCCAGGAAATAACAACTGATTAAAATTGTTACCATGGAAACGACTATGATCTCCTACATCCCTTGTATCTTTTGGAAAAATGCCCATATTTCCAAGATGTTTCCCTGCCAATGATTTTCTCCATTATTTATCAAAGAAATTCAAACTCTTAATACTCTAACTCAGAATAACTTCAGTTTATTTACTATATTTTTTGTGAATGAATTACTCTTACCCAAATAGAAGTCTTCATTTTTCCAATATTTTCCAGCATTGTAACATTTTTCCGAAGAATTAAATTTCATTTGTATAGATTTCAGTGATGCTTTGCTTAGTACATACCCTGCTTCTGCTACATTGTATATTTGGCCCCAAAAGGTCAAGGGATGACCTAAATAGTATGGCACGTTGTAGTCCAGAGGTGCCACATAATATCTTAAATTTTCAGGAACAACAAACATATCATCATGAACAAACAATATCCATTGCACATCATGATACTCGTTTGTGATATGATTGATGGATAAACACAAGAAATGAAATGAATTCTTTGGCTGAAAGGTAACAATTGGAATACTATGATCAAACTGCATTCCAAAAAATACTATTGCATTGCAATGTTTTCCCCAAGTGTCTTTAACTGCTCTGGCATTTTTCACTTTTCGAACAAATACAGCACATAAAACAGATACTTCTTTTTCTAAAAATGCAGCCTCTGTAGCACCTTCTGGTTTTCCATAAACAAAAGCATCAAAATTCACAGGCCACCTAGAAAGTCCTTTGCCCGCAAACCAATCGCCATAATTTGGTAATTTTCTCTTTTCTGGACGACAACTACCCTTCACAGACGATATGTGTTCCGTTTTGAAGAAAAGAAATGCTAGAACAGCTCCTATAGCAAATCCAACAACAAACACTCTCTTTCTACAGGTGCGAAAAACAGATAACACATCCATATTATTGCGCAGATAGCTTTAATAATTTGTCATAAAGATACACATATTTTCTTCACAGGCTGAGATCACTATGGATGCAAGTCAACACTTCTTATCTACAATTTTACAGATGCATTTTTCTAGATATTCGTACAACACTCGTCATGCTTGCATGTGCACTGATGTGCACCTTGTGCATGCTTCAAAACCAACAGCGTGTTTACATCTGTCCAGGTCTGTGATCTGCGCACACTGCCAGCTCCACTGGCCAGCTGTGCTGTCAACCATACTTCGATTGCTTCGCTATTGGTAATTTATCTGTAACCTAAACTAATTCGTTCATTTTTATCTATTTTCCGTCTGGAAACGAAGAGGTGGAATAAAAGGAAGCGAAGAAATTGAATAATATTTGCTTTAATTTTTAAAAATAAACGAAAGATGATTCTGCGTTGTGGCGCCACTGACTTTCAAATCATCTGTGAAGACTGGAATCGAGGTCGATCATATGATTGGATCAAAATGCCAGGGTGTTACATTTGTGAGAAGATATGTGTAACTCGTATATAAATAGAAATTAAACTCTTAAGTGTGTTTTATTTGCACTGTTCATGTACTTAAGCATAAGTCGAAGAGTTTTGCGGGTACAATTTTTGCTACGGAATGTTTGTAGTGATGTTTGCTCCGTACTGATGACTTTTTCAAAATTTGGAAGGATGGATGATTTCCGTGCAGCAAAATTACACCTGTTTTGGGGTACTCCGATAACCTCGGTTATATATGTATCTGTATTAACTGTTATTGCGTGATGCGAGTGAAAACATTCTAATCGTACCATTGTGTGCATTTGTTAAAGTGTGTATTGCCACTTTCCCACGAGGGTTTCGACGACCACTTACGCATTAATATTTGCTGAGGTGACTAAATTCTGCGCTTCATACATGTTTATTTCGAAAGTTCACAATTACAATATCACGTAAAATGCAAAGATTGTATCATATGTGTGAATATTGTGGAAAGTAGTGATGTGCGAATATGTCGCTGCCAAACTCAACTCGGAAAGGAAGCTCAGTGTCAAAGACTACACGTTTATTTACACCCTCGATGGGGGTCACTCTAGGTGCTACAAAATTGCTCAGAATATTGGCAGGTGTTGTGATGCGGTGTTGGGCGCTGGCAGGTGCAGCCGTTTTGGCGTGCTTGTTACTTTATTGGGCGTATGGTGGTCTTATGGCGTTTCTGTTGCTTTGTTTCGCAACTACAGGTTAGTACATTTGTTACTTTTCGAGATGTGTTAAAGTGTCACAAATCTGAGGTAGCACAGTACTATTTTAGAGGGGGATTTCTTCCTTTTCTTTTTTGTTGTTGTTGGGTGGAAAAAATGTTAACCAATTTTAAATATATTTCAGGCATTTTGTATCATAGTGAAGATGGCTTGCTGTTTCATCCAGAATTGCCAGCACATTCACGGGTCTTTGTACCTGTCCCTTCAATGTTTGGTTTGCCTTATGAAAATGTATTTGTACGCAGTGGAGATGGCACTTTGCTGCATATGTTTTTTATTCACCATGCAGGTCTTGCAGGTGAACGATTACCTACTATAATATTTCTTCATGGTAATGCTGGGAATATGGGACATAGGTATTTTCTCTCTTTTTCGTGACAGTTTTATGAAAACATTTATAAGGTAATGCTTAAGCTTTGTTTCCCTTTTTAGATTGCAAAATGCACTGGGCCTTTACCACGGCCTACCAGCCAATATTTTGATGTTAGAATATCGTGGATATGGACTGTCCCAAGGTTCCCCATCTGAAGAGGGCTTGTGTATGGATGCAAGGGCAGGTTTAGATTATTTAGCTTCTCGTAGTGACATTAATCATCAAGAAATAATTGTGTTTGGAAGATCTCTAGGTATTTCTTTTTTCTTTTCCTCTTTAAATTTATGAAAGATTTGTCAAAATTCTTTGGCTAAATTGGCATCCCAAAATGTTCTTGAAAATTTGTAACTGAAATAATTTGAGGTAGGCTAGAAGCAATGCCATCTTTAGTTCCATTTTGTGTATTGCAGGTGGAGCAGTGGCTGTAGATGTGGCAGCTCGTCCAGAATATGCTTCAAAGCTTTGGTGTGTCATTTTAGAAAACACTTTCACCAGTATTCCTGATATGGCAAGAGTTTTGGCTGGCTGGAGGCTATTAAACTATTTACCACTGTTTTGTTACAAGAATAAGGTAAATTATCTCAAAATGTTGCAAAAGTGTACTTTAAAAAGAATTTTGAAGTATTCTTGAAGAGCTTCTTTCTTATCAAGGGGCAAGAAACTTGGAAAACTAGGAATTGTCAGTTAACTTGTTCTTCAAAAGTCAAGGAAAAATAAGGGAATATTTTTGTTTCTAAAGGAAAATAATTTTCAGAATTAAAATAAGAAATAGTCCCACCCAGGGGTATCTCCTGAAAGATCGGGTAGGGGATACAATAAAACACTGGTTGCCTTTGCTACTGACTGAGACCTGGTGCTCAGATGTCATTGTCTTCTTCTTCAAACATTGAATTGTAGATCTTCTTTTATTTTTTCATTTAAATGAAATATTCCTAACTTATTTCTTACATCTTTATTCCGTATTCTATTTTCTCTCATAAGGCTCAATATTGATCTCAAAATATCTCATTTTAGAAGCCTGAAATCTATTGCAGAATTTGCTATTAAGTACCCATGTTTCACTTCCATAGAGACCAGTTGGCACAGCTAATGTTTTATAAAATTTTAGATCTTTCCTTGCTGTGTTTTTTAGGGTTCATCTAATTGTACCGCATATATGATTAAAATGCTTTGTTTTTCTTTCTATATCAACTTCCCTAGAAACTTAAAAATGCGGATTAGTTCAATGATTATATCTTTTACTACCAGTTTACATGTACAGGAAAGCTACTTTAAAATGTCATGGATAACAGCAGTTATACTCTGCTGTTTTCCATTGTAATTCAAATAGAGCTCTCTAATTTGTTCTCTTTGTCTGCAATAAGTACCTGATCATCAGCAAATATTAATGTTTTGACAAAATTGGATTCTTTAAAGTTGTCCGTAATGTTTAAAAATGTTGCCGTTTCCATTTCTAACAGCATTGTCTAAATAGAGATTAATTAAGATGGGTGACAAAGTACATTCTTGTTTAACACCTTCATTAATCAGCTCGTGTAGGATCTCTTTGTTATTTTTCTTTATGTTAATTTGTGTATCATTATATAAGTTCCTAATAACTTCAATAAAGTGTTTGGGAATTTCTCTCCTGTCCATTATATTCCAGAGCTTGTTCTTTAAAACATTGTCAATTGCCTTGCTGTAATCTATAAACACTAAATATGTTGGAAGATTGTATTCCCTCCTCTTTTCTATCAATTGCTTGAGAGAGTACACATTGTCTTCCTTTACGAAAACCTGTTTGCTCACCAAGTAGTATACAATCGATTATGCTTCTTAATCGTTTAGTAATTATTTTTGTGTGTATCTTGAAAGAAGAATCCAGAAGGCTTATTCCCCTGTAGTTAGAACATTATGTTCATGAACCTCTCTTAAATATTGGGACAAACAGGGCCGTTCTCCAGCTTGGCCACCCCTGGAGGCCAATGAAACAAATTTTTGGAGCCGAGGCTAGTATGCCAGATGTGTTTGCGGAATCGCATCAGTCATGTTGATTTACGCCCATATCTCCAGCTGACAATCTTCTCGACGCTCATTTGCCTTGCAGCAGAATAGAACATAGGAACTGTCTTATGTGAAACCATTGTGCTCCAAAACCAGGTATTGTAATTGATAGTGGTCTGAAGCGTCCACAGAAAGTACAATATATTTTTGCATAGAGAAAATGAGAAACATGTACTGTAAAGATAAGAAATAAAATCAAACTAATAACGAAGGTATGCAACACATCGCTCGCATTCATTGATGCTACACCACTGGCCCCACCTCAAAGATTGAATTCAGTGGTTACCTTATTTTACATGGCGAGACTTGGGCCATCAGGCATGCTCTTCCGTCTGACCACCCCTTGTACCAATTAGCGGAGAAAGGAGGTATTTCTTGGGTGACAAAACATCAATTTGGGGGCTTCATTTAAGCTTGAGGATCTTTTATACTCTACTAACATGGGACATTCGGCTTTACTTCTCCTCTGAAGGAAGGCATACAAAGGATTTTATTGCCCTAAAAATTCACGGCACCCTTGGGAACCTACCAACTGTTACACCATCACCGCTGCATAATCTGTTAGATCTTTGTGATTTCTTTCCACTTTCGTTTTTGTATCTTATTCGTCATTCCTCTTGCTTTCTTCTGTACTGAAAGACTCTTGCATTGCTTTCACAGTGTCTTAGCTAGATCCAATTTTGCTACGTTTCAATGTTTGGCCCATGACCATGAAGTGTCCTCGGACTGCACAGAATTGCCACTGATGAACTGAAGCACTGTGCTCAGTGGCACATTCCCCTCAATCCCTTCCATTAATCATAAATTTTACTTCTGTAATTCGCAAGAACCTCCTTTAAAAAGGTGATGATGTGTCGTAAAAGTTTTTCCTGAAGTTGTAGTTACTGTGCTCACTATATTTGATGTTGAGAGCTACTGTAACCAAATCATCTAGAGCTATGACGGTTCTTTGGCCAAGACTGAGATGTGTCTCTTTTTTTTCTTATGTTTCATTGACTGGCAAACTTATAAATAAATAAATAAATAACCACGTAAGATTGAAACACATGGTAGCAGTTAATTATAATAATGATCTATTGACTGTCTGTTTTAATTATTCATTGATAAAAAGGTTCCATATATTATAGACGGATGTGAAATTGAAGACCTAAAAGAGAAATTTAAAACCTGTTTCACATTTATTAGTACGTTGTATATAAAATGCAACATTTCAAAAGTAATGATTGTTCTTTTACATCAGGCTTTCAGAAACTTGGTTGAGAGATTAAGTTTCCAGACAGCCTCAATCTCGGCCGAAGGAACATCATAGACTTGCCTTGGACAAAATGTCTCAAGCTGTCATATTGAATTCTGTTGATTTTCGTATCAACCAATGTTAATGGATTGTAACTTGCTCTCTTGATCAAGGTTTTGAAATGAGTCATGGTTAAGAAATGTTCATTAATACTGTATGTAGTGTATAATGAATGAAACCATTTAAATCTGTGAAATATTCATTTGGAAAATTATGAAAGAACTTGTACTCTTTTAAGTAGGTCTGGTAAATCTACAGGAATGGCTACCTTATCATGCATTTTCATTATGAAACTATTTTCAAAGAATGTTTGAAATTTTGAATGTTTGAAGTTTGAACACTCTTAACTGCTCTGCCTGAAGCAAATACAAATGAAATAATAAAAGAATTACTGCAAATTTTAACATGTAATTCATGACCTTCTTCTTCTTCTTAAAGTTTGTGTTGCAATACTTGAAGCAAATTCAAAAGTTAAAAGCAAAATGAATTTCTCCCATTCAATTCAGAGAATTGTGGTATATTCTTGCAAAAAGCTTAAAGAAAACAAGCCAACATATAAACAAAAATATTTAGGCATTCTAAACCAGCTAAATCAATATTTTACAATGACAAGGTTCAAAATGTAGTGTTATGGTAGTACCATGTATAAAATCATCATAAAAGACAATATATACTTATTTAAATAAATGTGTGATACCGTAAAGCATAGAAAGAGTTTTTTGGAAGAACATTCTTTGACATCCATAAAGGGACGATTAAGTATCTTGAGGTTTACCTATGACAATTCACAAAGTATATTAAGTGGAAGAATGTTGAAGACTGTCCACTACATGGAAATGACATGAAATTAATATTTCTACATTATCTATTCTTTCTCATGCCTATCTTAACGTTTCTGGGAAGTAATGTTTTCATGGCTTTGTCAGCTTCCTCTAATATGTTCAGTATCTTCCATTTGCAAACATTTCTTTATCCTTTAGGTCAGTTTAGTGATCATAAGTACACTCTGCAATGTCCACTAAAATAGATCTTTTTCAGAAGCAATAATAAGTCATCAAATATATGCCTCAATTGGTAAAGACTTGCATGAATTTTCTTATTTATTGAATAATGGTAGCAGCATGAATCTGTTATACACATATTTCATAATGCGGTGAATAGAGTTAACCTATTTCTGTTTATATTAATTTTATCATAATGCTCATTAATCATGTCTCATATCACATTGGTTATCACATTTTTAGTTCTATCGCGCAAACCTAAGTTTGTCCAAAGAGTTTTTGAACATGTTCAAGGGTACTGAACCAGTGCAGTCTGATGTTAGTTGTTTCCAAATGTTGACAACATGATTGACAATGAAGTGTAATCTTTGTCCAGTCCTTGTTGTTTCTTTTCTGGGTTTCATCGTGTGTTCTCTCAGTTTGGTGTCTGTAAATTTTGTGGAGACGACATTGTGTCATAGAACATTAGAGGCCATTCAGAATTTTATTACTCTATTATGTCTTTTCTGTTTGTTCTCTGTCCAATGTCAGAATTGCCATCTCTTGGCAGCTTGATGGTAGTCATTATGTCAATTTTCTCTCGGGTTCCTGATGACTTGCTACTGTATTTCTAAACGTCTTTTTCATAATATGGGGACTAGTCTATGTTGGCATATTCTAGTGCAGGTGTAATATAGATTTTCCTTACTGTTGATTTATGCAATTTGGAAAATGCCTTCCTCATCATATATTGCAGGCAGTTCACTCATTTGGTCACTGTGGTGACTTGAGTTTCCCACTTGAGATCCTGAGTGATTAATATACTAAGAATATTAATAACTAAGTCACTTTGGTGTGTTGTGATGTCCAGAGTTTGATTTGCAAAGGTGTGGGGTAGTTTGGGGTTTTTCTTGCTGTTGTGGAGGACTTTGCATTTCTCGAAGTTTAGAAGGAGTAGCCGTATTTTCGACCAGTTTTCCATTGGTGTAATATGATTCTGTAAAGTATGATGATCTGTCAAAGGGTTTGCAAATAATTTGGTGTAGTCTGTGTAGCAATACCATCTTGCAATAATTCCATCACCCAGATCACATATGTGTAACATAAACAACTTCAGTTCTTAAACAGATCCTTGAGGTACTTCATTTCTAACAGTTCAAGATGTGGAAAGCTTTTCTCCGATGTGCACTCGGAATGTTCCATTAGAAAGGAATTCCAGGTCTATTCATGTGTGGTTAGTTTGCCTCTGACCCT